TGTGTGGCCAGCTCAGCCCACCAGGGGGCGGGGCTGGCTGGCATGTGGTGCTGGGGGATCGAACCGCAGTCCCTGTGCTTTGCCAAGCTTGTTCCAAGTAGGTACTTTAGACCACTGAGCCATCTCACCAGCCCCTTCACACTCTGTTTGATGAAGGACCATAACTTCAGTTTTCTCTCTTAAACCTCCAAACCTCATCCTGGATAGCAGGCAAAAATATTCTGTTTATTAAGAAATGCTTTTGATTTCCCTAGAAAATATTAAGGATGATCCGGTTTTGTATTTCAAATGCGAACTCCATGAAACCTTAGATGTGAACCTTAAGGTGCCATTGACTAATGAAGCCAAGGAAAAGGCTTTGGCTTTTGCAGCACAACGGGAAATGTCTACTATTGAATATGAGCGAAGGATGATTACAGGCACTCTGGAGAGCAGTAGCGTCCGTGTGGCTGTTGCCCTTCTAGGGCTAACCAAGATTGAGGTAGGAATGGAAAACAGATGATGTAATTCATTTCTAACTCTTAAGAATATGCAGAACTGTATCCATTTGATCCTGGCAATATTTTCACAAAATAATGATGAATATTCTTTTCCCTAAGGAAGACTTCTCAGTAGTGTTTTTTTTAACATAACTTAATATTAAATCTGAAAGTTTATTCTATTATATAATTTCACACATTACACTGTAGTCCTTAATTCACAGTAACCAATTCTGGCTGTGCATTGGAATATTCTGGGAAATTATAGATAGATAGATAGATAGATAGATAGATAGATAGATAGATAGATAGATAGATGATAGATAGATAGAGAGATAGATAGATTTTAGGGTTTAATGTCATGTAAATAAATTGAACTAAATTGGCATTGTGTGAATGACTTGTCACAATGCTAGACTCAGCACAATCTGTATACTTCTAAAAGTCAATTATAATATTTTAAAGGTGATCTAGAATTTATAAAATTCTAGTTGAATTAAAAGTACTAAAGTCTAAAACTGACATCTGCTTTATTTAAAACATTCTTTTGTATTTAAAACATTCTTATTGTTCTTCCAAGAAGATGATAAATCTTTTCAGATTTAACTGAAATGCTTACTTCCCTACAACAGTGAATTTGGGAATTCCTATATTTTCATCAGCAAGTGTACTTTTACACCAAAAATTTTCAATGATTTTCCTTTGCAAACATTTAACCTATGGTAGTGTTCTCTCTCCCTGTTTCTATCTTTAACTTTTTAAGTTAATTTTAATTATTGTATCTTTTGAAAATAATTATTTAAAATGATAAAGGAGGTGAATTTTATGCATGATACCCTTTTCCTAGATGTATTTACATATATAATTTTTCTATCATTCTCCTTTTTCCTATAACTTTCTCTCTAGAACTCAGCACACTTTGTATATTTACTATTCCATTTAATAACTTATACATTGTATTAGATTTATTTTGTGTTGACTTCCTTCTCCTGTCATACTGTAAATTGTTGAAAATCATTAAACTTTGTATGTATTGTTGCCTATAATTTGACATGTGCATGACGTGCATCCTGCCCTTTTTCTTCACAAATTAAAAGTGTCATATGTAACCTGCTTTATTTATACAGTGACAGCTGCGTTTATCGCCACTGTCTTATTTTAAAAGGACAATATTGTGTGTAAAAGAACATATGCACTGGAGTTGTTTTGTAACCCACATTTTATGACTAATGGTTCAGCTAAATATATCAAACCTAGATATGAAACATATTTTAGCAGCCATAGAGAACTAAGCCTTAAAAATATTATTGTTTGCATCTTAAAAGTATTTTGTATTCAGCAAATTGTCATTAGTGCAAAAAAGGCTCAGTTTCTACTGATAATAAGAACTGCATTTTGTTGGTAAAGTGACAAAGAACAGACTTCAACTTGGTGAGAGAAGTACTTTTTTAATGTTATTCATTACTAGAATTGTTGCTTATTCACACAAATGATTCCTTCCTTAACATTAAAAATATGACATCAACAAACATTAACCTATATATCAATCCTTTGGGCATTTTCCCCAGTGTGGTGTCTAGTAGATAACACTAGTTTGTTTTGTAAATGCATGTGATAAAATTTACATTTCATCATCATCTTTTCTTTTCAGGCTCTTTTGCTGTTTCATATGTCAAAATTGAAAAAGCCTAAGTTCATTTTATTTACAACAGAACTGAGCCTTCCAGACCATTTTGTTATCCCAGCTAATATCTACATGTGTCAGATTCCAAAAACTCGTGAACAATCAACCACATCTCAAGGAATTAATACCTCAGGTACAATAGATGATCAACAATGTGTTGAGTGAAATATTTAGCACTGATCCAGAAAGGTTGATAACAGAAGCATGCCAAGAGAGAATAATGTGTCATTTATCAGAATTTTTTTTTATGTGAAACAGGGTCTTTATATGTTTTCTATTGGTCGTATAGTGCCTCTTTATCCTGTTGCTGTGATCATGATGTTATCAGCTACATATTGATATAAGTAGTGATGCACTGATATTATTAAATACAAGTGGTTAGATGGAAAAATATGACTGAATGTTTTTTAAATATTTAAAGTCATATTTTAAAAATTTACTTTCTTTCTAGTTGTTATATCAATATAGGAATATTATTTCTTCTCTAAGACTTCCTGGAATGTACTATAACTCTTCCATTATGAATTCTAAGTTATAATTTTGATAAATTTGGTCTTAATATGATGTTATATTCCTATGGATTTGTGTTTTTCATAGAATGGTGGGAAACTGTCACTGAATTGTTGGGTGCTCTTAACACTTTTTAGAGATAATTTCAAAATTCTAGGTGTTCTGAACAAAGAATTACACAATGCACCTGAAAAGGTAGAAAGGTATTTTACTTACTAAAGATAGAGGAAAAAGTAAACTTACTTGGAAGATTGAGAGCAGGTCACTGAGAGAAGATCAAAGTGGCCATGAGGTTAATGGCTGGGGTCTTTGCCATCTCTAATCCCTCACCCTGTCATCAGTCTTTGGCCTTCCTATCAAAACCTGCCTGATTCTGCACTAAAAAAAATTAGGATATCGCAAGTCCTAAAATGTTGAAACAGTAACTACCAGCAACTCAGGTTCTCAAGGACAAGGTGGCTTGAGGCTAGTAAATTATAGCTTGGAGAGGAATCAGAGTGAGTGGAGGCTACCTGAGAAATACAAGTGGATTGAGTGAGCAAAAGAAAGGAGGATTAAGCACTACAGAAGAAATAAATCATACTGCAGAGAAGACATTGCATTGTACTGCTGATAGTGGGTGGCTAGCTGCCAGCTGGGAAGAAAAGTGATACAAACTCTTCTGATGATGAAGGACAGGAGAATTGCATTGGTGATAAAGAATCAGAGGCAGTTGGAACCAGCAAGGCAAATATAGGATGCTGCTTCCAGAGCAGCTTTCCACAGTCAAAAGCTGGTTAGTGTCCTCAGTACAATGACGGCAGCCACAATCATGGAAGAAGACCTGGCAGGGACATCCATATAGATAAGGGCAAAGTGTTTGAACTTGGGTCCCACAACAGCCTCTTGGCTCCAAACCACATTGCATCCATCCAACTTCCCAGAGTTGATGAAGGCAGGGAAGTCATGGGAGATAGTCAGCAGTTGGAGAGCAGACCAGGGGCAGTCCTTCTGACTGGCAGGGCCTGAAGATCACAGACTCAACTCCTGTGGTTAGAGGCCTGGTTCAGCATGTGTTACAGGAATTTGAAGCTCTCACTGGTATACTATTTTCACTGTGAGCAGATCTTGACATCCAGCACCATTGTGCACACAGATTGCCACCTTTGATTTGCAGCGTGAGCAGAGACACATCCTGGCCTGAACGCTATTCCTAAACACTAAGCTGAGGAAAAGAGACATATATCTAAAACAGTAGAAAACTTTTTTTATTATTATTTGATTGTATTATTTATTTTTATTTTTTGCTATTTTCCTGCTTTGCATTTTCCCCTTCACTTTTATTTTATTATTTTGGTCTTCATTTATGAGCTTATTTGTTTGTGTATGTGTGCTTCTCTTCCTCCTGCCTTTTTTCCTCCTAATATAGTTTATATAGAGGAATGGAACTCATACTTGTTCCTATAAATCCCTCCTACTTTTATCTGTATCTCTTTAGTGGGGTTCTTTTGTGTATTCTATTCTCAATGTTTCTTTCTTGTCCCCTTTTCATTTGTTTCCTTTTACTTATTCTCTGATATTTATGGCATACACTGCTTTTCCATCCTCAGTTATTTTAACAGTTTTGTAACCAGCTTTCTCAGTTATTTGCTTCTAAACAAATCAATACTTTCCCATCATTTGGATCCTTTGCCCCCTCCTATTTCCTCCTTTCCATATCACATAGCAGATGACTTAGGAAATATTTTTTTTTCTCTTCCCCCTCTGACATTATCTGGTTCCCAAGCATCTAAGCTTTAGATAGATGGTTCTACACAATAACTGTTGGATAGCCATCACATTTAGTGCACATTAAGTGTGGGCTAGGATTTAGCTGTCATGATGCTTATGCTGTAACTATAAATTTCTTCTCTGTGCCAAAGGAAGGCCCCAAAGAGGGTATCATAACCGAGTATTTCTTGATTGGCCCTGGTTAATAGCACTATAATAGCATTTTACTGGTGTAGCTGATTTATATGCATAGAAATAATTTTACCTCAGTGGATAGTTGTGTACTACTAGATCTGTCTGTAGAATCCACCATCATACCCAGACTGGACAGCAAGAGTTCCAAAACCAAGAACTCAGACTGGATCAGAGTGCAAGAATGCCTGCAACAGGGTAAAAGGAAGTCCTTAGTCTGAGTTAGCTTAAGGATAACAGTAGCAAGATCAGAGGAGTTATGGGATTGTGACCACTCAGGCTGTGCCAAAGAAGCTAAGTGGAATCACATTTGCAGTGTCTCATTGGAATATTTATGTCTTTTATTGGGACATACTAGAGGTTTAATTTTTCCTGTATTTCTTGATTTATTTAGTAATGTAGGGTTCTGTTACATTTTTTTCTTTTCTCGTCTTTATTAGTTTCTTAATTTATTATATTTATCTTTATATTAGGTCCGATTTGATAAGTGTCTAGGTCCTCTCCCTCTTCTCAGCTCTATATTTAGTTTTCTTTAAACTCAAACTCTGGAAGAGAGAGAGAGAGAGAGAGAGAGAGAGAGAGAGAGAGAGAGAGAGAGAGAGAGAGCATGTGTATTTGAGAGAGGGTTTCACTGTGCAGCTCAAGCTAAATTTAAACTCACTTTCTAGCCCTCAGACTGGCCTCAAGATCACATCAACCCTCCTGCCTCATCCACCCAAGTGAGGTTATTACAGGTGTATGCTAGCACAACAGGCTTCTTGAAAGTATATGAATAACATCCTTGTTTATTCTTTTTTAAAAAAAACGTAAATATCTCACCCAAGTATTTAAATTTCCTATAATTATCTCCTTCGCAGTCATTCCTGTGTTCTCTATTATTGATCTCTGATTCTCTCCACCTTGGGCTTTTGAACATCATCCCTATTTTATTACCCTCCCTATAAACAAGTCTAACAACCATATCACTTCCCTAAAATACAAAGTAAGCCACCCTTCTCCCACATCTCACCTTACTCACACAAAATATCCTCTGAAAATTCTCAATACTAATACTTTAACTATACTGAAAGTACTACAATAAAATTAGACCCATATCAACTTTTCCTTCTAATCTACCACTATTATCCCCTTCAAATCTTCCACTTGGTGACTAACGCTCTACATCAGACCACCTCCCATGCTCCCTATACCACTGCACCTACCACATTGAAGAGCAATCACAATAATAAACTTTTAGAGTATATATGCAGAAAACCAAAGGAGGAAGATTAACTGCACAGAATATCACAAATCAGTGTTATAAGGCTGAAATGTGTGGTTACTGTTACAATCAGAAATGTTGATTTTCACAAAACATAGGAAAAGCCAAAAATCACATGCAGTAAATAATGGAAGGGACAAATACTAGCATTGATCACACAGAACTAAAAGTATTTAAGGGGATTCAGCATCTTACTAAAAACTCCATGTAAGCTACAAAGTGTTCTCACTGCGCTAGTTCAAAACCTGTACTAATCCCCTCCAGAAACAATCTTATTTTGTAACTTAATTTTGGAAAAGATGACCATGTTTGTGTTCCTAGGGGAAATATGGACATAATCATGCTTTTCACAGAAAGGTTGTAAACAAAAATGCAATTTTTGCAAATGATTTGTGAACCAAATTGGTCACAAGTAGAAGTATTTGTGAACTGAAGTAACATGGTGTTAAATAAAGCAAACAAATAAACAACAAGAACCGCAGATACACATAGATTATAGAGGCAAAGACATAGAAAATTTCCAAACACACCCACCTCTTACAAGGCAGAGTAAGGGGTCACAGAGCAAGAAGAAAATAATTTGTTAAGTAACAGAGATCTATAAAAAGTTCATAGGAGATTTGAAGAAAATAGATGAGTTCAAAAAGGAAGTAAACCAAAATTTTACAGCAAATTCATTTAATATGTCCTTAGTGAATTTTAGAAAAAAGGACAAAATCTTGTTGAGCTAACTGATATAGTTCAAAATCTGAATGACAGATTAAATAAGGACATGGAATCTTCAAAAAGATGTCAGGGAAAAAAAGGTGTCAGAAATACCTGAAATAAAAAATAAATACCTGAACTAAGAAACCATATAGAATAAATACATTGCATGAAAACAATGTCTGATATTGAAGACAAAATAGTAAATTAAAATAAAGAGCTCAAAGAAGCAAAAACTAAAATAAGAGAACAGTATCAAGCAGCTACTAGTTGACAACAAGAAGACCGAACTAAAGTTAATCAGACTTATAGAAAAACTAGGAGATAGGACAGATGGATTCCCTAATGTGTTTACAGAAATTATACAAACAAATTATGCAAATGTAAGGAAAGATTTTTAAGATTGCAATCAATATAATGGAAAAAATCCCTCACGATCAGTATTGTTATTATCAGATATCCAGCTTCCTTGCAAAATAAATAAATAGAAGCAGCCAGATAAAAACAGAAACATACAAAGACAACCTGGTTAGAATCTCAGCAGACTTCTCAACAAAAATCCTCCAGGCCAGAGAAGCTTGGACTGAAGCAATTCAAGCCTTAAGCCCTTCCCAACACATGGAAAAGTAAGATATTTCCATGAAAAAGACTAACTCTGAAGACATCTGAGTGCTATATCAGCTCTAGAGAAAATACTTGAGGATACTTAGAATACCATCGACATGATGTGGTTTATTCCTCTATTCAAGCTTTATGTTCTTTAACTACTTTCCCAGCGCCCATTCAAAAAGGAGAGGGCTTCCTAAAGCCACAGGGGAGAATTGTCTGAGGGTATTGTGGGGTTTTTTGCTTTTGAAATGGAGTTTCCCTTTTCAAAGACAACTGGGAATCTGTGTAGAGTGGAATAGAAAAGAGTATCTTTCAGGAGTAAGACTGAGAATCAATTTGTGCCTCCTGGAATCAGAGAGAGATGGTCCTACAGGGATCTTACACCAGCAGGTGGACTGAGATTGTATCCTCATGAATAAGGTGAAAGTCAGTGTTCCAGGGCCAAGAGTAAGGCACACTGACTACCTGACACACACATCAGGTCTAGGGTGTTGCCATAGTACAGTCCCATGTCCAGGGTCCAGTCTGCTTGTGTTTAAAGAAGTTACTCTTTTTCTTATTAGTCTTAGGTTTTCCCGTGGAGGACTTGTGTATGTAAAGCACAGGTAATTGCAACAGCCATAATTTTAGCCTGCCTTTTTTCTTTGACTTTCTTCTTTGCATTCTCATCTAGACCAAG